ATCATGAGGGTGGCATCATGCTGCCTCGGGTGCATATCGGGGGGGGGGTTAACCTCCTGTTCTGACGGCCCCAAAATAAATACATTAATATAAAGATAAAAACCAGTTAAAGGATTGGGGAAGAGTTCCATATACGGACGCCAGTAATTATTCCTACAGTGACCTGTTAGCAGTTAGAAAGCAAAAACATGTCCAGAAAATTTCGATTTAGGAGGGAAAAAAGCAAATTGTTTACCTAAAAACATTTGGGATTTTTCAGACTAGCCTGATAGGGTTTGTACACAGGGTGTCTAGCGGCGTCCGTATATGGAACTCTTTCCAAGAAATAACTAGTTCCTGTAATGAGCATTACTAATATTAGGGCGCATTGGTTGCCAGACGATTCCTGAAAAAGTCACAAAAACACGCAAATTTTGGCCTTTGTCTGATTATGAGGATATAATTTTTCCCCAATCTTTATCATATTCTATGTAGCCACTTTCAAGGTCTACCTGCCGAAAAAGTCGCTCAACGTGAAGTCATAATATTATAAATGTATGTGAATACTTTTGTTACATTTCAATCGTCAAACACTATAATTTTCTGGAATGAGTCTTTTACATAATTCTCTTCGCTTTGCGTCATTCTGTAAAAACAGAGTTGCACTAGTTTTTTTTCGGTGGTTGTTTGAATCCTTATTAACTTCCTGCTGTGGGCTGACATTGTTCACTTGTTAGACTTTCAGACAAAATTCGCGCTGTACGACAAGAAAGGTGATGGCAAGATAGGTAGCGAAGAACTGGGCGATGCATTGCGGGCGACTGGGCTCAATCCCTCGGCGGAAGAGGTGGCGAAAATTACCAAAGGTTTTATCGGAGGTGAGACGTATCTCTGCACTAATTGTTTGCACTAAATGAGACGATTAGAAGTACGTTTTGCCTATTTATCTCAATATTTTATAATGGGCACCCCGGTAAATGTATATCAACGCTGGCGTTTGTCTAATATGAAATCATTCTTGGTGTAATGATAAAACGACGGACATTGTGATATACCACTCGTATCTTACGGTTAATGCTTGTGATTAATGCAACGAAAATGAAATCGTTTCTGTAATTCTGACTTTTGCCCTTGCCCGACGTGTATGTATTTATTAACACTGTATACTCAGTGCTTATCCGAGAACTTTTGATGAAAAAAATTCACAAGCTTTATACTCTGGTGGGACTCGAACCCACGACCTCCTACTTACTAGTGCAGACAGTCAACCACTCGAAACTACCCCGGCAAGCGAGTGGTTGACGTCTGCACTATAGTTAGCAGGAGGTCGTGGGTTCGAGTCACACCCGAGTAAGCTTGTGATTTTTTCGCAAGCTCTCGGACAAGCACCGAGTATATACAGTGTTAATAAATATATACTTGTATATGCACTACTTTAAAAAGTGAAGGACCACTGCTTATTTTGTGTATACTTTTTTATATGATACATGTATTTTACTGCTGAAAATGTAATGATTTTGATGGTTTAAAACATTTTTGAAATTTTCTATTCCAATGCGAACACCATCTAGACCAAAAAAAATGAAAGAACTAGACCCCACTCATTGCTTGGAAAAAATTACAAGTTAAAGTGGTCCTTACCTTTTTTGGGCAGTGTATGTCTACGTCGGGTAAAGGCAAAAGCGGTAATTAATGTTAACATCTCCCCTACGCCAAGTCCATCTTGACAAGTCGTTTCTAACTTGATCTTGAATTTGATCAGATGTGACTCCGATCCGAAATGTCCCCAAATTGTCGGCTCACTTTTTCAATCCCCTTCCCTTTCCGAATGACAGCGTGCCACATAGAATAAGGTTGCTGGCTGTTTGACATGTCACATTCTGTAGACACTTTTTAATTAAATGTCGATGTGTTTCAAAGGAACCTTGTGTGAGATACATTTCATCTCCTTTTTGGCGTGCAGGTCAGCGCATCACCTTTGACGAGTTTTTACCGATACACGCCTCGCTTCGCTCGACAGCTCAGACCAAAGGGACGATACAAGAGTTCACGGAAGGACTCCAGATGCTTGACCGAGACCAAAACAACCTCGTCCCCGCGTCTGAACTGTGCCATGTCCTCACTAGTCTAGGTCGGCTGTTGCTCCACTTGCTTGGATTCATTAATATCCTGATACCGTGCAGTAATTTGTATGAACTCGGAGATTGTATTGGAGTTCTCCGTAAGCCCGTCAATACAAGTCACAAATATTAACAAAATTTTTAATTTTTCGCAGTTAATTAGGGAAAACTGAAATTGTGATGTGACTTGATACCTTTGACGACTCGCAATCGACTCTCTGACGACATTGTAGCATATTTTTATAATGATAATAAATCCTAACATACTTGAATATGTTAAGCATTTTGAGACACTCAGCTTTGTAGTTTTATCATTGTCTTATCTGAAACTACGAAATGAATTGTAAAGACCTCTTATAGTTTCCAGTTGTTATTGTGGATATGATATTATTAACGACTCTTATAACAGAGTGTTCTAACTGTAGGAATTTCAGTGACGAGTTTTTCCACGTCAAGCTTGTTTGTTCTTCATTCTCTACAGGTGAGCAAATGACGGAGGAGGAGGTAGAAAAGCTGTTGAAGAAATTCACGGATGCCAGAGGCATGGTGAATTATCCAGGTAAATCTCTGTTCGAATTTCGCATCCTTAATTGCCGCGAGAATTTGAAAACAAATTCCCTATTTGATTCCGAGATCTTGATCCCAATTGTATCGTGGCCATAAGCAAGAACAAGGATTTTTCTTTGACGGCATCTAAATTTAGTCTAGTCTGTCTTCGAACTACACCTTACAATTGCTTCAACTTTTCGTTTTGTTTCAGAATTTGTGAAAAAGGTCATGACCGGCTAGACTAAGATGGTGACCTGCACGACTCTACATTAAGGCTAGAAGTATAACCAGTTGCCTTGGAGACTGTTTGTTTCTCATCCGGTATCGCCCAGACAAAAACAGTCTGCAATCAGGCGTACTTGTTAGAGTAGCCTCCGTGGCTATGCTCCACCCTTTCCTTTTTCAAAAGATCATTTTAGGAGTTTTTCTAATTTAGAAGCACCTTCAAATGTCTCCGTCTAGATCCGACATCTCTCTAACCAATTCAAAATCAACTCAAGAAAGCGCCAAAGCTGACCGTTCAGAATCAGGACACAAAGAATAATAGGAAGCAACTTTAAAAAATGAAACCGCAGAGCGGCCATCCAACCGTGATGTAGGTCAAATGACTTCTGTTTTTTGTCAGAAAATGATCTGAATTCTTCCATAATCTGATATTAGAAACAGTCGAGTAGGTGCTCGTCATAATAGTCTGTTTTTGTGGAGTATTCCCCTAACCGCTTGCAAATTGCCAAAAATAGTACCATAAATTCGCTTACACTCATTGGAAATATTGGTATACGTAATGAAATTTTTTTTAGAAACAATGACACTTCAATATGCTAGGATAAAGTGACTAATAAGCTGAATTTTTATAGTAAATTTTAAGTTTTATTATTTTAAAGAAGCGACCAGTCGAAATCAGTGGCGTAGTGAGGTCGTTTTTGACACAGGGCTCACTTTCAAAAAGGGCGCTCGGCATCCCTGCTAAGACAGTTTTTTTCGTCGGTCACGCTGCGATCTTTTAACGGTGGCGCTGTTTAAAGCGTTCATAAAATAACAGGCGGCGCTCTTCATGGGGGACGATGAGGATTCTTTTGTACAGGATGTGTAAAAAGGAGCGCTCTTGGAAAAGAAAACCTATGGAGAAAGAGGGCATGTATACGAATGCTTGTTGTGGGTTGTTGTCAATGTCATGCGACTGATGGATTATAATCACTTTGGCTGTTCGGTCCTGCATGGAACCTGTAAAGATTTTTTTCCAGTAAACATAACTTTTTGAAAATAAAACTTGATATTTCACACCAATTTTTACTGTTATTCTGTGGTTTCAGTGAAACGACTTTTCTGTACCATTTAATTTGGACTTTTTGAATGACCTTTGAATTTATGACCTTAGTTAGACTGGAGTTTCACATATAAGGACGAAGTATAATGGCCAAAAATTTGGACTCGGTCAGAAAAAACCCTGTACAAACAGTCAATCTCATCTGGTGTTTACAGTCCTGTGCATTCAAGGGCCTGGTAATAAAAACCCTTTAAATTTCTACAAAATGTTCAAAATTTTTGAGTGAAGACACTAATTGGCAGGCAAAGCTGGCAAACAACCCTCATCCTCCAACGGAACGTCGAGAAGCCCGAGTTCTGTTTTTTTTTTTTTGTAAGGGAGGAAAGCCGCCGAGATCCCAGAAAGAAAATGCTCTTCGCACAAGAGCAAAGAGCCAGCGAACAGCTCCACTCACACACGTCACCTTCCAAGGGTACTGTGGTTCAGGACGTTCTACAAAAAGCATCTGCTTTGCACTTTTTTGCCGTAGATTAATTCCCTATCCAGTAGAGTGAACTTTCAGGTTGTGGTGGCCACCGTAGCAAAAACAGTATTTCGAGGTTTCAGGGATCAAGACAAAACCACTGTCTAAAACCAAAAATCAATATGTCCCTAAAATCATTTCAACTTAAGATTCTTTGTGGTGGAAAAACTGTCCCTGTTATGGCACGTACACTGCAGGCCCGTATCTATTAGGGATGCAGGGGCGCGTCCATACCCCTGCGCAACTAAAAACTCCGCTTTTTATGCAAGTAAAGATACACTAGAAGATTTTGCGGAAAGAAATGCCTTGCCCTTCGATGTTTTTCGCCTTGGTCAGTCCGCTCTTCAGGAGTTTACTTTCAACCCTCCTCAAACCCCCTATGTTTGGTCCGCTTTGTTGGGGATTCGCACCTCCCCCAACGAAAAGTCCTAGTTACGGGCCTGCGTTGTGTATGGTCTTCAATTCATGCACGTTTAGACACGGCAACGACATATTTTCCGGGGGCACACATTTTTTTCGGGGGGGGGGGGTTTCCAGGGGAAAGCACTCATCAGTTGACAAATAAAGAATAAACACTGGGTGGGGGTCAGTTTTATTTTGATTTTTTTCTCAAGTAAACTGAATTAAAACTTGAAGAAAGTGAACTGAAATGTTTTAAAGTTGTACACAGGTGGAAAGTAAACCTCAGAATATTCTGGGACACCAACGGAATCCGGACTGGTACGGTAGAGGCCGAAACCCCAAACCATGTGACAGCCCAGGCGGGATTCAAACCCGGGAATCAGGACTGGTACGGTAGAGGCCGAAACCCCAAACCATGTGACAGCCCAGGCGGGATTCAAACCCGGGAATCAGGACTGGTACGGTAGAGGCCGAAACCCCAAACCATGTGACGGCCCAGGCGGGTTTTAAACCCGGTTCGTTGAAGGCAAGGAAAGTAACCCTGCGTTAACCAACAGAGCAAGAACCCTCGGGTGTACACGAAGTTGGAACAGCCCATTTCTCTTAAGCAACGTTTCTGAACTTCGGTGTTGACGTTGCCTTCACGCCACAAGATGGAGAGGGCGTGTACAGTGGCAGCTTGATTCTCCTGTTTCTCTTGCCCCCAGCTCAGCGCCCTTCATGCGCGGATGACTGGTATTTCAAGATGCATGACGACTGTCAGTACTTCCGCGGTATACACAGGGTGGATCCGATCCAGCAGACTTTGGACCTGTACTTAGAATGGAGTTCACTGGTGAACAAAAAGGAATTAAAAGAGTCTTGTCTAGTGCGTAACTGAGGCAAATTTGAGGAGGGGGCACTTTGGGGCGCTCTTTATCTGGAGGGGCTCTTAAAGGGTTTCGGTCACAGTAAAAATACTGACATAGCCGGACTATCATCAGATTTTTTCCCTTTTAATTTCGGGGGTGAGGTGGATGGGGTCTCAAGTGGTGAGAGAGGCGAGCCCAACAACTCCCCTCCCTTAAGTGGGCCCCTGGAGCTCCATGATCTGACTTTTCTAGTTCTAGGAACAATTTTGGCTATTTTCTCTTTCACGCAAAGAATTTTGCGAAGCATGCCATTAGTGTGTTTGTTAAATTGAATCCATCGTTTAGTTGAAAAACTGCAAAATAGGTTTTCCTTATAGGCCTGTACACTTTGGGTGAAAAATCTTGGTTTTTTTGGGTCAATTTCTAAATAAAAAATGTCAGCATCCGGGTTTTTGACCACAATGCACTGCGACAGTTTATAACGACTGGTGTGCGCGGAACACGAAAGAGTAAATCCTACGTAACTGAACAGCCTCATGAGGACACCAGCGAAAGTGTGCGGAACATGCAATATGCGAGTGTATTTCGCGTTATCGTATTACGTCCTGTGGATGTGAGTGATGTTCCGTTGTCTGTTGGGGTGTGGTGCCTAGATTTTACCTGAAATTTCTTCACCATATCATCGGAAATTCTAACCAAAATCACGGACATCTTTTTTTCCCAGGCTGCTAGACTTAACTGTATCAGCAGGATTTAAGACAGGCTGGAAGGAGTGGACATATTTCCGAGTTGAGATTTTTTCAGGGGACTGGCCGTGCGTAAAAGCGGCTCACAGATTGAGGCCGCACCGAACGCTTGTACCATTTCAAAATGGGTTGCGCAACGAGCGCAGAAGATAAAGCCGCCGCTGAGCGGTCAAAAGCAATCGACAGAAACCTACGAATTGATGGTGAAAAGGCTGCAAGAGAAGTCAAATTGCTTCTTCTAGGTAGGTTGGTGTGAGTGGAGTACTTTACCCGTCTTGTTTTAATGAAATCATCGCAAGTAAAACTTGCCACTCCCACGCAGAAGTGGTATGTTCCGTTTTTTTTAATGGAGTCGGTTCCTTTTCTTGGTCGAATACTTTGCACTGCAGCGGCAGTCGTGACAATATCGGATTGCCATGCTCGAGGTTTTGACAGAATTTTAAAATTCACATTTTTGAGTAATGTTGATCATTCACTTTTTAATTGCTTTTCTTTATGGAGTGTATATAGGCCTACATGTACTCTGTGGGCCTGGGCTAAACCACAAACCAGTTACCGATCAATTTTGAATTTAGACTACGAATAGTAATTTAGTATCTATGCTTTTGGCAGTTTTGCATTTCTAACGTTAAGTGATTCTACAATCTGTATTTTTTGGTACAGCCAGCACTTAAATTACATGTAGGTCTGTAAGGACTAATTATTATGCTATAACTTATAAGTGGCATTCATGGTATCATTCTAGTATTACTAGTCTTCTTTAACCCTAACCTTCCCAAACCACACAGAATTGAACAGTAGCAAAGTGTTTAATTCTGTGGGGATAACAGCTGACGTTTGCATTGGGTTTGGCATACCTCAGAAAAAACCAACAGCCCCTGTGCACAAAGTCCCATATGTGTGAATAGGGAAGGTTAGGGCCAGCAACCCTTGGGGGTTAGGGTTAATTAACCCAGGGTTTGTGTGGTGGTGGTGGTGGTGCCAAGTGCATGTTCAGTTGCCATGCAAAACAGCGCAAAACCATTAACATAATATTGATGGTTTGTGTTCGATGGATTACATGTATCTACGCAAGGTATGTGCAAACACGCCGTGCACACGACCTCCGAAAGGTGCCCACACAAGTGTTAGCCCAATTCTCTGCCTGCAGAAGGTGTGTCTGGATTCTGCACTGCTGATTAGCTGTTGTAAGGAGTTTGGCAGACAAATTATTGAATATGTAATGAGAAAAACACAAAGTACACATTTATTTCCAAATTTTCCGTTCGACCTCCAGGAACTGCTATTATGGTGCCACTAAAGTTCGAGCTCGAAATTCCGCCCAACTAATCCTGGTTTGTAACAAAGCATTGCCATTTTAAGGTGAATCGTTTTGAAACATAACTCTTGAGCTGTAAACATGGTAAGTGGGTGTAATTTGAGCAAATTCTGAGCCTTCGAAGGGGTGTTTTTTTTTATTGGACCACGGGGTGTTCAGTCTAACGGTGTATACATGTATATAATGGCCTATGTTCAAAGAAAGTGATGCATAACGCAGAGCGAGGATTGCAGGTCAAAGTTTTTCAGAAGATTCTTATGTTATTCAAAACAAATACGGAGGCACAAAATATGCCTGTTTAAAATCCTTAAAAAAATCACAACTCCCCAACCCAACATCGCGTAACATTGCTTTTGGTATCATTAGAAAGCTTATTTTAAAACTTATCTTTTGGCATATGTTCCATCTAAATCAGACTAACTTGAAAAAAAATTGTCACATGCCTACTACGTAGATATTGTATAGGCCCAGTAGTTTTTTTGGGGAAGAGTTCCACATATGGACACTAGTAATTATTTCCTACAGTGACCTATTAGCCGTCAGAAAGCAAAAACAATGTCCGAACGTTGGCATTTTTGACGGACGAGAACATCCTGTTGAAATCCTAGCAATAAAATTTACAGAGGAGTGATTATCCCCACCATTATTTTACAGAGATTTATATGTGGTGAAAAGTGATATTTACACATATTAAAACCATAATCACAAAATTAAAAAGTGCCTTTAACAATTAATCAGGTCCCAAAGTTGGCAGTCGCGAACATCATTCGATTCTGTCAAAAAAATCGACTGCAAAAAGACAGGGAGTAAAATCAAAATCGATGTACAACACAAGCTTTAAAAAAGTGCAAAAAAGCAACCCCAAACCGTCATCCTTTTACGACTGGACCGATCACATTTTGTTCAAGTACGTTTCCGAAAACCACAGTCCAAAATACCGATCTTGGCAATTTTGCAGCTTCTGTCATTATCTCGCAGTGCCGTTTGAGAATCATTTCGCTGCATCGTGGGCTGTTTGACCTTTGACATCAACCCAGATAGTGCGCTCTCTTTTTCATTCGATATTCATAAGCCCCTCCATGGAATGATGATGCCATTAGGTCACTGTAGGATTTTTTTTTCATTCTGAAAGTTATAGTAATTGTGTGTGGATCTTTGAGTCGGCATTCATGTACATGTACTGGTACGTTAGATCATCATGTTACCAAATTTCTTGGTCAAATTTAAGCCAAAATTTTTTGGGGGGGAACACAAAATAATGGGATACATGTACAAATTTTGTTGGAAATGGTTTTCAGCTTCAATGTCATTACTGAACAAGATGTGTTTATGAAGCTTTATTGTGAATTTACAACAATCATCATGTTTATGCGAGTTGGTTGCTACACATGTACATTATATCCCATTTAGATAGAAAAGCTGAAAATAATACCGTGCACATTCCACCAGTTGTTAAAACTGACAGCTACATTTTATATGAGATGACTTTGCGTACAGTATTTTTTGAGATAGTACTACCAGCAGAAATTAACTGCGCCATTTCATGGGCATAAGCCTACATGTATAATCTGTTTGGATTCCTCTGCAAGTAGGGCAATTGCGACTGGATTTGACATGAACCAAATAATTGTGGGCACTCCAAGGCTTGTGGAAGCGGTTGAACACTGCTTGATTTGTCTGCTTTTTGTGGCTCGCCTAATGGCATTGACCTGCAATTAAAAATGCATGGTGAGGGTGTCAGATGGTCTGAAAGCCTTTTGCTTGTTTTCATCTTATTGGTGGATTAACTAGTGGCGCTGGTCTTGTCACATTTTCCCTTGTTGGTGTTCTGATGGTGTTTGGCTGTCAAAGCAATTATGTACATGTACAGTACATGTACATGCACAGTTGAACACATGTACATGTACCTAATTTTGCATATACTGTAGTACATGTATGTATTGTACTATATGCATGCACGTACATGTACATGGACCCTTAGATGTACGTAGTAATTATGGCAAGGTCCATTGGGATCCTCATTACAATATTTTAATGACTGTACAGTGTGCGTACAGATTCGGATAATTCGTGCATTGAAAGGTTAATGGAAACATCAGCTGCACAGGCGCCCAGACCTGTATGAGTCGGAAAGAAGATAGTCATGAAATGGAATATTCTTTTACCCCATAACCCAAAATGATCATCCTGCAAGTGTAAGACATCGTACATTTGTACCACCACTGTCATCTGCAATATTCATGCTGGAAAAAAATGGAGAACCATTGAGTAAATGAGAGATCAAATCATATCAATTATGTGATGGTGACAATTTAAACATTTTTCTAAAGTTAATACAATTTCAAAATACATGTACAGGTGCTGTACGTAAGTGTTACAGGTAATTACAAAGATATGTTGAACAACTGTTACCCCATGTAACATTTTATTGAACAGTTGAGCAGTTTCTGTACAAGTTCAATCTCTTTAAAACAAAACCTGTAGCGCGTATTTTAAATTTTGAAAAGAATATTCAGGTGATTTACATGTGAATACGATTGTAAGTTACATGTATGGATGTTATGCTGTACATGTACGTATGCCGCTAAAATATTGGCACATTTTACAAAATTGTTCATTTAACTAGTTAATAAGAACACTTTGGCAGTGGACATACATGTAATTCTTGCTGAAAATGGCAAGTTGTCTGTTTGAAGCAAATTTTTTTGTTACTCCAAGTGTAAGAGTTAAAACCAACGGTTTGAGGACTCTGCTATGTGAATCTGTATGCCATTACATGTGGTGAATTGTTATTGTTAATCATTTAATGCTGGAAATAACACCAAGGATTCCTCAAAAGCGCTTTTTTGACACTGTAGATCCCAATCCTGAAGAAACCTTTAGACCTGTTTGTCACTTTCCACCTACATGTACATGTATGTATCCTTCGGACAGGCAACAGTAGACATTTACTGTATAAACTGTCAGTTTGCGCTTGCAAGAAGTTTGCAAGCATTCCTCTTCACATGCAAAATACATACATTTACATGTATGTGTAAATCTAACAACAGTGAAAACGTAAGTGGACAATTCTTTGAAGGTGATTTTAGACAGTTGTTCCAGCTTCCTGAGTTAGAGGAAGTTGATGAACTAGCACATAACATGTACATGTACATGTATCTACCGGTATACTCGAAGTTGGTCCACTTCTACATGTAGTATTCAGTTTGTTGGCCATAGCTATTTGTTAGTCATTACAAGTTTACAGGCATCATTTAAATGCTCATCAACATGCTCCTGCACTGCCATGACCTGGACTTTTTATGCCATACAAATTCAATAGGATGTGCCTCGGCATGGTCTCTGAACTGACCGATATATAATGCACATGTACATTAATGTGTACATGTGGTTTGTGTACTGGAATGGAAGCAGGCGTCCTGGTTGTAGCCCAACAGTCTACTTAACCTGAGATCTCCAGCATCTCTGCTTCATTTTGACCAGGGCTTGACTCCATGGGGGATCTATTTATAAACCTGCATGCTGCTGTCGCTCCCAATTACCTGGCGGTGTAAATGCCCGCAGACAGATGGCCTGTGGCGTTTTCCCCACCTTTGGTGTCGGCAAATGTTGTGCTGCTTCAAATGCAGGCTGTCTACATGTACGTCTGGGAAGGGAAGAGTCATTTGTTTTTTCGTTACTTGTTTGTCTGAAAAAGGATTTTTGTTTGGGGGTCAGTAACTAGAGTGGTTCTTGCTAAGTACATGTAAATAAGACTTGCATACATGACATGGGCACTTTGAGACTTCCAGCATGTATAATGTACATGTACACGGACATTGTAATGTACTCAAGTGCTTCTGGTGCAGTACAATCCATAACTGATCATTGCGCTTTTCAATAAGGGAAAAGAAAAGAAAAAAATTACCTACGGGTTACACATGTGTTATGAATCACAGTTTTTGTTCTCAAATTTATATCTGCTCATGTTGTTCCCCTTTTGATTTGGAGAACAGTCACTTGGCACTTGAAAATCAAGTGGAAAGGAAATATGTATAGGCCTACATGTAAATGTGTTCTGCCCGTCGTCACTCAGCAGTCAGTAATGATGCATGCTAAGCTTTATGAGTTCCAAGTAGACAGCTCTCGACTCAGGATTATTTTTCTAAGGGAAGCACTGGTTATAATTTCCAAACAGTGAGTGGGTAGATGGGTGAAAAATATGTACACTGTATGCAGAAGGTAACCACACACGTACATGTATATGTACATATTTGTAAATGTGCATAATTTCGCATGTACATTGTATGAAGAAATTCTAAAATGAAGAAAAAAAGAACTTCACGCTGCAAACTTATTTATTGTGCGTGTGGACTGTGGCACTGTATACATGTGTGTAAAAAGTACTGTACATTACTGGTACATGGTGAACTTCTTCAAAAAGTGTGGTGCCCTTGTTTTAAATTATTGAAAGATCATTACAATCCACGTTTACATACTGTACTTTTGTCAGATTTTGCAGGAGCCATTCTTCAAGACAGGCCCACGAAAGGGTACTCCGAGTACTCCTATTAAATATGGATGGGCAAAGTCCGTGGAGCGGAACAAAGAAAATGTGAAGTCAATTATTAACAACGAGGTGAAATAGAAGAAATGCAAAACCTTGATACACAACATACCGGTGCAGAGTTAGCTAAGCAAATCTCTTATCAAAGGTTGATTTCAATGGTCAAAGATCAATTCCTTTGGTTCTGGAGTGTAATTTACGCTACTGAGCACTCGTGGAAGGAATTGTGTCGAAGAACCAATTATCAGATAAAAAAAGTAAGACCACCGAATTCCAAGCCGGGTTTATATTTGAAAACAAAAGCAATTGAACGCAAATAAGAAATTTTAAGTAAATATATTTTTTAACGTGTACACGAGCTGTAACTGCACCATATGCCTTTAACTGAAATGTACATGTACATGCATACCGGTACATGTGCATGTTCTGTGCATGTATGATGTACATGCACATGTGACCGCAGTTGCCTGAAATGATAGGCTTTTCTTCATGGCATGTACAATTATGCTTGTAAATGGTCTACAGCTGCATTTTAGCATTTTAAAGTTTACACCAAGTGGATAAAACGTGAATTTGCACTTTGAATGTGCAGACATTTTTCTCTTGAAACCCATTTTGGTGCTTAGACAAAACAATTGTGCATGTACATGTACAGTACCACGTTGTACACTGTGCCAGTACATGTACATTAACATGTGGTACGGGGATACCACAGCCATACAATGCATTATGATGATAATCTGAGCATGGAGATGCGCATCTGAGGGCCAGTATGGAGTTGTGTGACTCATAGCTGGTCATGGAACTGCAACTGTTCCTTCTCTGCATTATTTCACACTATGCTCTGAACATGCATGGACAGCAGATGGCTTGCACATTTCTTATGCACCTGTCTGTCAGTTGTCCAGGTTAAAAGAACAACTACACTGTACTTACATGTATGGTACATGTACAGTTTGTCCCCAAAATTTGTTCAAGCAAATTTAGTGTTCATTTGAAATGTAAATGTATTGTGTATATCAACTGTACACGCACGCACACATCACCATGCACAGAAGTATGTACAAGAAAAGACCATAGTGGTACATTTGAATATTGGCTGTGTGTACGGTGCATTTACTTTGCACACCCCACACCAAATACGCATGAATTTGCATGACAACACGTAACATACTTGTACATGTGTGTACATGTACATATTTTATACATGTGTACGTGTATGTATGCACATGCATGCACATGCCATAATAATTATTTACATGTACATGTACATGTGCCGTTATGTACATGTACCAGTACATGTCTGTAGATACTGTGCACATGTACACATTTCGTACATGTACATGTGTTGTACACTGCTCACATGTACAGTGTACCATATGAATTCCATATAGGAAAAGGGCGTTTTTATTTTGTTAGACTTTTCAGAAGGGCGGCACCACAATCACATGCTTCTGGCAAATGAGGAAGTTAATGGTACTGGTATAACCCTTGACCCTGCTTAGCCTAAGCAGGGTCAAGGGTTATACCAGTACAGCTTAGGGGAAAAAAAAGAAGCCCTACTAGCCCTACTCCACAGGACCACACTGTGCATGTGTGTTGATTCACCTGGGAAGTTCATGACTGTGTTTCCAACTTTTCGTTCCTTCAAACAAGAGAATTGGACTTCCTGAATGAAATATTACCTTTTAAAGAAAAGAAAAATACTATTGAATTATGAAGAAACTAATCGATCATACAAAATATCTTCTATAAGTGTACTTATCATTTTGTTTTGGTTTTACTGTGATATGAAAATGGTAGAGACTGGAGACATTGTAAGAAAGTAATAAAGTCATGGCAGACACTTTTTATTGGCAATCAATATTTGCAACAAAAATGAAAACAAAAAGTGCAAAATTGGCACTCCATACGGGAGACTGACAGCCTTAGGTTGCCAATATTCTCCTTGCGGCACATGCAAAGCACCCCGACAAACAGGTATTGTTGCCTAGCAACGGCCAGACCTTCCTTGCATGCGTAGCTACACGGCGTCTAATTACTGCCACGCTCTCGATACATGCACGTATCCACACGTCGCAGCGGTAGAACATGGACGTTGTGGACAACAACTAAATTGATTGGGCAGCAAAGCATTCATAAGCAGTCGTGATACAGTCATGTACATGTAAATAGGTTTCATGTTTCTGTATGTGCATGCACATGGAGGGAAGTTGGAGATCATTGGATGTAGAGCTGGGTACATGTATAGTTTTCAACATCCTTAACTAGTAAATATATGTGCTATGTAACTGCTTCCGTACATGCATCTCTGAGATGGAAGATTAAAACTAAAAAAGCAATCAGTGAGCTATCCACCTACAGTAGCCAAAAACGGGTGCATGTACAGTACTGTACAGTGGTGTACATAGTGGCACTTATATGTACAGTACATGCATACCGGTATGTACACATGTACATGAAATTGTCAATGTGTTTCCTAATTCCGAATATGTAGCTCCTCTTATACAAGTACCAACTTCGTCAATGCATGCCTTGCACGGTCCCTGGAACTTGAATCTTTCCAACTTAGAGCCAGACATTGGAGAAGCAAGACTTAATGCAAAAATTGACCTACAATTTACATTACACAGGGCCCAGTCTGATATCAAGCTACGGTAACGGTACATGTACATGTGACGTGAAGTTGTTGACAACAACTCGAAGAGGCAGAAGAGAATGGAATGACCTGTGGACTATTCTGCTGATTCACAAAGTCTCTCACTACGGGACCAAAATACCTAGAGAATCGGGTTAAATCTGTGCTCTGAATTTTCCTCTTTATTTTTCCCATGCAAAAGGTGTTGTTTGATTAGTTGTTAATGTTCCAGGCAAGACAGAGTGCATTTTTAATTGCTTCTTTCGTTTTCAAGTGGCCCCTGTGTACATGTATTTACCCTTGATTTACATGTACATGTAGGTTAGGCCCATGTACAATGTACATGTGTTTGCATTACATGCAGAGCACATGGAGCATTCAAGCGGTATTAGTACATACATATACATGTATATTCCAACACATAAATCCTAACAATCCCCAACTAGCCAAACTCCAACACCAGGGTTTGTTTGGAATCTGTTAGAATAGTGAAAATACGTACTGTATTGGTAAACTGACTGTGTTTTATGTGGGGTTAGTCGTACCGCAAATGGTATCCAACAAGTTTCTGTGCACAGTTTACAACTGTATGTGGTGTTTGGATTTGGAAGGGTGAGGAAGGCTCCTACATGTAATCTGCCTCTAGAAGACACACTCCCTCATCGGTTAAAAAGAGCTGCGTTGGTCAGTAGTGTTCATGTTGTTGGTAGCAGTTGGTAGACGCGACCAAGAGGTGTACATTTCCTAGTGGTTCGTGACCTAGCGAAGTTCAGTTCCGATCAAAGGAGCCTCTGTTGCTAAGAAAAACGCAGCTTGGTCCAGCCTGAGGCCCAGCTACATGTACATGTATAGAAGGATTGCACTTCACATTTTGTTCAACGGGTCCTTGCCATATTTAACGTGTTTAAGGCACTGTTACTGGGTACCAACAGCAAGAAATCTGTAGATCACTCTCTGAGGGAGTTTTACCCCTGTACAGTTTTTATTACGTTTTCTGTTCAGAATCTAGTATTCATGCTGTTCCATACCATATCACATCAGTTTTATATGATGGAAATTATGTTGCAAGTAAATTTAATTTAGTCACATGGAAAACTTACAGGATTTCTGCTTTGTAGTGTGGAGTGCCATGTGTACACGGACATGCATGTAGTTAGATTTTATCTTTTATTTCCGGTACTGGTACATGACTTAATTTAAATTGTACAGAAGCCCTTTCAGGAGTTTTTTTTCCAGAAATCGTTTTGCTTAACTGCAAGATTCAGAGTTTGCTTTTTTTTTTTTTCAGGAGCTGGAGAGTCAGGGAAGAGTACAATTGTCAAACAGATGAAGTAAGTACACTTAACCTAACCTTTGACCCAAGGTTTCTGTGTATTGACCATGTTGACAGATGCTGAAATTGAATCGGCTTTTTTAGTTTTGGAATGAAAAACTGACAGACCAAAGTTGAATTGAAATGTTACACTCAGTTTTTGTTCTTTAAAGAAATGTCTTGGATGTTCATTTGCAGAAAAAAATATTGCGCTATTTGTGGACGTGAAAAGAAGAGTGTGATTATGAAACATTTCTTTGTTTACAGCTTTCCTCCTTTGGGTCTGCAAAACTGTGACTTAGCAGTGTGACATTAACTTTTGTTAAGACTATATTTCATGAAATCTGTTAAAGTATTTCATAAGTCATGTGCTGTTGCCATTGTCGATTGTAGAGTCTTTGTGGTCCATCTACAAGAAATTGGGTATTATTTTTGAAAAGAATGGGTTGGAAACACCTTCGAAAAATTTGAAGTTTAGATTGGGAATGTGGCGCATTTGACCGCAGGGCGATGAAGTGCACCGTGATTTTCCGAATGGCGGTGCCAGGCGTGCGTGCATGGTGGCCGGTCAACATGGCATCCGCACGTGGTAGCCTCGCACATGCTGCTATGCACGGGCGGATACGGACTGCCTTATGAGATTTTGTTGGGGTTGGGGTTAATTTCCTTCTCAGTTGGGTAAAAGGTGTCAACATTTCCCATTTGTGAAAAATGTGTGGTGAATTTTTTTCCCCACATGTGAAAAGTTTTCCCACTTGTGAAACACAGGTGTGAAAATCTTTCCCACTGAGGGGAAAATTTTTCACAATTCGTGAAATGAATATTTATTTTCACGGATGGGAAAAAGTGTGAAAAATTCTCCCACACATGAGGTTAACATTCAGTTGCACTGTACTGTATACATGTGTCTTTTTGTTCGTGTAGATCATGCTTGAACATTGGTAATAAAACATCTCATCAAAATTGACCAGCTGTGGTTTGTCATTGATTCATTTGTTGTCAGTGCAGTGTTCTCCTGGTTGATGTACTTGTACGTGATATGGTACATGGATATGCAGGAGCAATACCAGCATATTGAACACATTCCGTACATGTATGTACAAGTGTGCACATGTCAGAGATGCCACTTTTCCGATTTTAATCGGAAATCTGACTTTTTGATATTTTTCTCCCCAAATCTGATTTTTTAAAAATTTCTTCCTTCAGTGTTTTCAACGTTGACAAGATTAAATAAAGCAGAAAAGACTGGAAGCAAATCTATGATGGGCACGTATCCTGCGACACGTGACTGGGTATTTAATCTTGTGCGCAGTCGTCAGTAGATTGCTCACGTCAGTCATACTGCGGTGCGAAATACGAAGGACAGTTTTGAGTGGTGTTGTCAGTAACTGGAAGTACGTTTAAATGTTGACCTTTGATGCATGTAAATCGCTTGTTATGGACAGCTCGATGCATGCACATGGGACATGCACGATGCATGAATGTACACAACGAACGTACATTGTACGTTGGATGATCAACACGTGGATCGACGTTATATGTTCGAGGGCCAACAAAATGCAGCATCTAATTGTCAACAGAAACGAGGATCTTCATGATATTGAAGGAGATGTCAAGGACAAATTTCAGTGGAGATGGCTCGAAGAAAAGGGTAGCAATGATGATTTCTTTTCTGTGAGAAAAGCTGTTAGAAAGCTTCGTTTGCCAGGTAGACCTAAGCCTACCGACTACCGTCATGACCGTAACGCTGCATACATGTGTACTTCCGATCGGGCGGAAAGCTTTTGTCATGTTTGTATCTTTTTGAGTAAAAAACAGCAGGCTGGCTTACATGTTGCCTGCAACTCATGACTGTGATCGACCAGCGATGATCAAGAAAGATCTTTTTTGTTTTTATAGCCGACTACACGATGAAGATGCACGTTGTGTACATGCACGCAGACCCCATGCATAAATACGTATGAAGCCGACACCGTGCGACATCCTGATTTTTTTGGCGTAGGCTAGTGGCATCTCTGACATGCATGACACATGAACTGCACATGCATACACATTGGACATGTACATGTACATAACGGTACATGTGTGCAGTGCATGTTGTCACCTGCAGCTGTGCGTTCTCTAAATATAGACGGGCATTGCCACAGTGACATGGGAAATTAATGGATGCAATATATTGGTTGCCATGCCAGTAAGTTTTGAGCAAATTCAGCATTGTACGCCAGCATTGTGCGGTTTTGCACTCATGCATTATTCGGCAAATTAAGGTGTGGACTGCTTTCGATGCTCTTTGTACTGGTGCAGTTTCAGTTGACGTCAACGGAGAAGATCTGGTGCTCAATTATTTCCATTTCTACTTGAAATTTTTCCGACAGTGCTCAAATTCAATAACCTTTACTGAATTGAAAACTCAATTGAACCAAGCCTTTCAGTTTTAATGTGAAGCTTTTTCCACAGGAGAGACTTTTGAGCAAGAATTAAGATTTTTTTTGGGTATTATTTTGTTGCAAATGCACATCTGAACATGTGCATGGAGCGTGTCAGGAAAGATCACTTTCAATGTTTTGTTTGCAGTGTACAGTACATGTACGTCTACATGTTCATGTACAACAGTTCCATTGTCTTCTCCTGTGTCCAAAAATACTTGTTACATGTACATGTACGGTTACATGCTAGGGGCAGAATGTGTCTACTCTCCAGTGTTGCATACATGTACACAGATACAGGTAGGTGGGGAACAAATTGAGCATGAAGGCTGTAGCCTGCTGTCTGTCTTGTTGTCTGGGCTGTGTCCCCCCCCCCAGCGATGGCTGTACATGTACATGTGGACACTCTGTGTTTGTCTGGTAATGTAGGGGAGATGTGAAGAGGAATGGCTCCTTGGGTGTACTGTATCTTCAGTGAGTGTTGAGACTACAGCCAGTCAAATGTGAAACTCCCCGTAGGCTGGATGCTGCGGAAGGACATGGGGATGATCTTGCTAATTTGCCTGACTCTGGAGTCAGGAGATTTGGAAGCCTTAACACCTCGGATACCGAATATGGCAGGTTCCACGAAATATGGACTGTTCAGTAATGTTAACTTTAGGGGTTCATTTTTCATGAAGTTAACAGCAGTGAATTAATACCCTATGCCTGATGAAAAGAGGGGAGTCATGGCTGGCATCTGGACACTGATGACTGTCTTTCCAAAAAATCACAGATGATTAAAGTCTTGAACGTCATCATTTTTGACGGATGTGAACAACCTGTTTAAATCCTAGCCAAGTAAAACTTGCTGGGAAGTCCGGCGGTTATTTTGCATAGATTTCTATGTGGTGGAAGGTGATAATATTTGGATGTATGTACATGTACACGTATTAAAACCATAATCACAAAACCAAGAAAAAGTCTCACAAATAATGGGATCCTGAAGTTGTGTAAAAAAAAAAACTGCAAAAAAGCAGCGAGGAAAATAAAAAATGATATCCATGTTCAGCGCAAGCTCAAGAAAAGAGTGAAAAAACACCTCAAACTATCATCCTTTTACGACTGGACCGATCACATTTTTTTCAAGTACGTGTCCGTAAACCGCAGTCCAAAATACCGATCATGGCAATTTTGCGGCATCCAGTAATATCTCAAGGTGGCATTGCAGAAACGTTTTGCTGCATTTTGGGCTGTTTGACCTTTGACATTAGCCCGTATAGTGTGCCCTCTTTTTCATTCGATAGTCATGAGCCCCTCCATGGAATGGCGACGCTCTGGGATTTTTCTCTTGGTACCAAGGTTTCTCAAAAGAAATTCTGTCATTACAGACTGAGTGACATTTGCAAGAAAATGACGTATGAGACATAAAATACTATTCGTGATGAGAATTAAATGACCTTAGTTTATAATTTTGATTTTCTTTGAGCAGGGATATTGCCAAAATTAGTGGCAAAATGAACATTACGCACGAGGTGACAAAGAGTTTTCCTTATTGTAGAACGTCATGCTCTTTTCGTCCAAATTCTGAAATGTCATCAAAATTCCATCCACAATGAACATGTTGTACTCACATACATGTATATTTAATGCAACCAAACTTAAAAGATTATTTTTGGTGGTTGGAAGGTATTATACCTGGTAGATATGCTAATATAGTGGGAGTGATTATAATCGGTAAGAGGATGATGAGAGCTGAATCTTTCTCAAGTGTCCATCAATTTTGTGCTTTTTTTTCATGGCTCAATTCCCTTTATAGTTCTTTCTGAGTGGCTTCAAAATACATCAGCTAAAAATACACTGAATTTTCTTTCTTGTTGAGAGAAGTTTTGAAATAAAGTCATCTGGGGCAAACACTTTGACATGAACTTTAAGTGAGTTCAACCCCTTTATGTATTTGCACCATAGTCAACCAAATGTCCACCAAGTGGACCGGTACATGTACACGGTATGCCTCATCCCAAATAATCATTTTTATAAATCTGAAGGTGCTAATTTGTGTTTAAAATGATCCAAGTCACTCGTTTTAGAAGTTTTGAAAAATGACATGCGGGGATTGCATTTTGGTCCATTTTATGAAGAACATGCCTGTAGATGTACATGTACATGTATACGGTAATGGCTGTGCAGCTTGGTGTTCAACTGCATAAAGTCTCCCATGATACGCACATCATTTCAGATGCAACTGGATACACAAAACATATGGTGCAAAGCATTCCAGTACACGATACCTTCTTATTAGTGCTGGCAGTGCTGATTCGTTTGTCATTGATTATCGCTTATGCGACGATAAAATTGTCCAGAAATTGTGCTTTATTAAAAAGTTACCCCCCCCCCCGATACTGTAAATCTCAAGGCATGAACAACATCATACCTTGGCTTAGAAAAAACATGGATTTTTACAAACTACATGTATGTGTACATGCAGATGAAGTGTTTGTCTTGTTTCTTACATGACCTGGTGAAAACTATGCAAATAATTCAGGCTCCCGTGTAAGTAGTTTTTTGTGAATTGTCCTTTCTACAAAACTTGAGACTATGAAGCCTGTCATTG